TTTTGTCTTAAATTTACAGTCTTTAAGGGGTTTCTCTTGAAGAATATTTCACGAGAAAAGCAATTGAACCACTAACCGTACTTTTAATTTTGTATAAACGGAGATATAAGCGTTTCAAGTATCCAAATTTTGTTCGCCCTCTCCTATTGACTCGATCCACTGTGCGGTAGGACGGGTTCGCACAGGTATCTGCGCTGACATTGTGAGCTCCGTTGAGCGCCCTCATTAAAAAGTGTGTTCAATCGATTTTTTCGAAACTCGGTATCAGATGGAACTTTATGACGGGAAGTATATTTAGCATGGGAAAGGGATTTCTCGGTATAAAAAAGTCAGACTTTTATCATGTGTCTAAAATAAAGCTGAATACTTTATTTCAACCCGAAAAGACATCAGCTCCTCCTGACACTAATATGAGTGAAAAGTTCTCATCATTTTGCATTCAACTAATGCAGCTAAGCAGCACTCTATGACAAAACATCAAGACTCCACTTTCCGTAGGTTGTGGTCGGGCCAACATAAAACGCCTTCAATTGGGTGCGATACTGTGCTACACACCGAAGTCGAAATATTTGTATTCTTGAGTTGGAGTCGGAACCGAACTCGCGTAAATTGTGAATTGCTCTACCAACTAAGGCATGTCAGCCTGTTAACTGTCTTATCTCCAGTTACTGCGCATATTTTATCGCCCACTTTTGCTCGTGGCAATCTAATCCTCAATTGGTCCAGAAAGAAAGAATTAACATCATTAATGTTGCTAAGGAAGGAGGCTCACCTGAAAGAAAATCTGTTCTTTGAGCTTTTAAAGTCTCTGAGCGCGCCTGTCATGAACCATGGGGCACCTTTGATCGGAAACTCTAATTTTCAGTCTTATTTTTTAAGTTCAGAGGAGGGATCACGCAAGGAACGAAAGAGTGCGTGAGATCATCATAGAGTATATATAGAGTCGTAATGTAAATGGGTGAGCTGGCGCCACTTTTAAGCATTTTCCAGGTCCCGAATTCCGAGACTCCTGTGTGACGCCGGGCCACTTTTTCGATACAGAATCGATTGTTTGCGATACACGGGTACCCGGCCATCCGATGTAAACGAAGAAGATTGGAATCACCACGTATTCCATACCGCCATTTTGGATCGAATATGTATCGAAATAGTGACCCGAACTCGGCGCACACCGGGCTCGGAACTCGTCGAGCAGAACATGGCGCCAACTCTCCCAATGCAGATCATGAGCGCCAAGCAGAACATCGTGCATGATATTATAACCGAACAGCTTGTCCGGTGTGGCCACGCTCAACGAATGGCGGATGACAGATTGCCTAAGAAGGGTCTAGATTGGGTCCCTCCGAGAAGAAGACGTAAGGGACATCCAGCAAAATCGTGGATCGGTGGCATTAAAGATGAAATTATTAATATCGCAAAGGACGCCACGCCGCTGAATTTCGGGGTTCTTGTCTTCTCGGATTATGATGTTTCCTGTCTTAACTACCTATGTTATTCGAAACATCGCATACTTCGATCCCGTGGGTACCCGTATCCAGAGGCGTGGCGTGAATGATCGATTATCGATATTTTCCCATCTGAAGCTATGTTAAAGAATCTATGATTAAGGTTATCGTTGCGAACACCCTGTACAGTGTACATAGATCCTCGTCCATAGGTTTAAATGGCAGATCAATCGATTTATCGCAAAAAATATCTCTCCGTCTTTCAATCCCTCTATCGAATACCTCCTATCGTAATCGGTCGTCCAAAGCGTTGCTTACAAAACTTTATATTTATTTTGTTCAGGATTTTGAATGGAGAATGCCGACGCCGAAAATCTAACGGAAAGAGCACTCAGCACTCAGCACACCTGAAGACTACAATCCAGTGATTCCACCAAACTGTAAAAGAGGATCCCCAGGGAGACTTGTCGAGGATTGCTTGCACGAGCCCTTCAATGCAGGCTGTACCTGAAGCGTGCACCAGCCCGGAGTCTAGCAGTATGTCTAGCAACCCATCTTCCCAATCCGTAGAAAGTCGCCTTGAAGATTCCAACAATACCCGACTTGCATCAGTAGAAGAGAACCAAGAGACCTCGGTCTCGTCCATCTTCGATTCTCCCTCCGCTCTTCCCCCCAAAATAGAATACGAGGATGAAACAGTTGCTGCAAGTTGGACTAACCAGCTACACACAAGTATTGACATTAAGAGTGAACCAACTCCTCAGACGGATGAGTCAGAACTCAGGTTGGGACGAGGAGGAGCAGAACACGATTTGGAGAATGATATTCGTGATTTTGTCCCCATAACAGCGCGAGTGAAGAGGGAGATCATGAGCTCTCCAATTCCCGACCAATGTAATGAAAATGCGCTGGACCTTTCACATACGAATATCGAATTTAAGCGGGAACCTTCTACCCAGACGAACGCATCGGAATCCGAGTTGGTCGAACATACTCGAACGCACACTGGTGAGAAATCATTCAGTTGCAACCATTGCACGGCATGCTTTGCTCAGAAACGGTCTTTAACGGAACATGTTCGTACGCACACCGGTGAGAAACCATTCAGTTGCAGTCATTGCTCGGCCTTATTTGTTAAAAAAAGTCATTTGACAAGACACATGCGGACGCACACTGCCGAGAAACCATTCAGTTGCAGTCATTGCTCGGCATGCTTTTCTCAGAAAAATAATTTGATAATTCACATCCGGACGCATACTGGAGAGAAACCATATAGTTGCAGTCATTGCGCAGCATACTTTGCTCACCAGTCTTCTTTAACGAAACATGTTCGAACGCATACTGGTGAGAAACCATATAGTTGCAGTCATTGCGCAGCATACTTTGCTCACCAATCTTCTTTAACGAAACATGTTCGAACGCATACTGGTGAGAAACCATTCAGTTGCAGTCATTGCACAGCATGCTTTGCTCGCAAACATTATTTAACGGCACATGTTCGAACGCATACTGGTGAGAAACCATTCAGTTGCAGTCATTGCACAGCATGCTTTGCTCGCAAACATTATTTAACGGCACATATTCGCACGCATAATGGTGAGAAACCATTCAGTTGCAACCATTGCATGGCATGCTTTGCTCAGAAACGGGCTTTAACGGACCATGTTCGCACGCACACCGGTGAGAAACCATTCAGTTGCAGTCATTGCTCGGCCTCATTTGTTAAGAAAAGTCATTTGACAACACACATCCGGACGCATACTGGTGAGAAACCATTCAGTTGCAGTCATTGCACGGCATTCTTCGCTCAAAAACAGTCTTTGACGGCACATATTCGCACGCATACTGGTGAAAAACCATTCAGTTGCAGTCATTGCACAGCATGCTTTCCTCGCAAAAATTCTTTAACGGCACATATTCGCACGCATAATGGTGAGAAACCATTCAGTTGCAACCATTGCATGGCATGCTTTGCTCAGAAACGGGCTTTAACGGACCATGTTCGCACGCACACCGGTGAGAAACCATTCAGTTGCAGTCATTGCTCGGCCTCATTTGTTAAGAAAAGTCATTTGACAACACACATGCGGACGCACACTGCCGAGAAACCATTCAGTTGCAGTTATTGCACGGCATGCTTTTCTCGGAAAAATACTTTGATAAATCACATCCGGACGCATACTGGAGAGAAACCATATAGTTGCAGTCATTGCACAGCATACTTTGCTCACCTATCCTCTTTAACGAAACATGTTCGAACGCATACTGGTGAGAAACCATTCAGTTGCAGTCATTGCACGGCAAGCTTTTCTCAGAAACAGTATTTGACGGCACACATTCGCACGCATACTGGAGAGAAACCATATAGTTGCAGTCATTGCTCCTCCTCGTTCCGTAGTAAACAAAATTTGAATGTACACATGCGAACGCACACCGGAGAGAAACCATTCAGTTGCAGTCATTGTTCCTCCCAATTCAGTGTTGAAGCGAACTTGAAGAGACATATGCGGACGCACACTGGCGATAAACCATTCAGTTGCAATCATTGTACGGCATGCTTTGCTCAGAAACAGTCTTTAACGGAACATGTTCGCACGCATACTGGTTCGAAACCGTTCAGTCTTTAACGGAACATGTTCGCACGCATACTGGTTAGAAACAGTTCTGTCTTTAACGGAACATGTTCGCACGCATACGGGTTCGAAACCGTTCTGTTGCAGTCATTGCTCCTCCTCTTTCAGTGGTAAACAAAATTTCAAGATACACATGCGAACTGCGAGGAGCTTTTTAAAGATAGGGAAGCACAGTTTTTCTAAGAAAATTGAAAAAGTGTCTCCAGAAAAGACCTTTTCATTCCTTTAAGGAATTCTGTAGTTAACCAGTTTAAGTTTTTGTAATCTTTATGTATATACATGTATGTATGATCTATATGTATTAATAGTTCCCTTGACTCTGGCTTCATGTAGAAATAAATATTATATTTATTATGTACTTTTCTCACAAAATGAAATCATTTGTGGAAATATTTTCATTGAGAGACGTACCGTAGTCAAGTCTTTCAAAGGTAGAGCCTTTTAAAATTGCTAAAATTTGATGGTTCATAAACATTTAAAAAAGAGGTGCTAAAATCATAAAAAGTTGTAAAAAATTTAAAAAGATTGTTTGGTAACGTTCTTGATTGCAACGTTTTCAAGTCCTAAAATTTCGTGCAAAGTTTTCAAAAAAACGAAATTTTAATGGTCGATTTGAATCACCTTAAACTTCGCGGGAAAATCGTGCGACCTTTAAAAGGACGTATTTGGGGGTCCGAAACCCCCCTTAAAATTAGTTTAAAGTAATTTATTGTGATTATACTTAAAAAAGCTTAAAATTTGGTAAATTTTCCCGTTTTATTTTTTTCTTTACGATAAATTGAACCGGAGTTATGATTTTTTGAAAATAGGTCAAATTTGGCCTTTGAACTATCATAACTTGGTCAAAAATTAAAAAAATTGATCTGCGTTTTGCGCCAAAATTCTTAGTTTTTCATGCTCTTTCTAGTGAGGTATCTTAAGATAGGGATAACTATTTGAAAAATCATTTTGGGGGGGGGGGACAAAAATTTTGACCCCCTAGAAGATGGTCCCCATTAAGATAGAAACATTCCCAAAGATTTGTTTTTCTATCTCTAACCGTTAAAAACTTACGACTAAAGGTACGGACTTTTGGGACACCCTGTAGATGGCGGGCGAACAAGTGATGGAACGATAATTCGCAAGGATCTTTGTGTCTTCATCTTTTGTTTTAATGAACGTCCTTCCATCCGAAATGCGTATTATTCTTGTTAAACTACTTTTGGAATTAGGATGAGATTTCTCCATCGTAATTTATAAGGCAATGTCTAATATTTGGTATGCATTTTGTAATCAGGAATTACAGCGTTTGGCTCATCTATGATAACACCGATGTGCATAGAGGAACCAATGGTTCATAAATAGTTGTTTCTAAACTGAGCCCGGAATTTTTGTTTTGAATTGCAAAATTTAGTCCAAATATGCTGGCGCGCGAAGGAAGAATGGCGTATGAGCCTCTAGAAGTTGCCTTATCTCCTTTGATGAAATATGAATTTTTAAGAAAATTTGTGAATATTTTTTATCAAATTTTGTCCTTCGCACACAGGTGTTTCTACTGATGAGCCAAAATGTGTGGTTCTGAAACTGGAAATTTCGTCCATTTAAGATAGTTCCGGAATGCAGAGTGCGAAAAATGCCTCAAAGATCCTGAAATATAGTTCAACATACTTGCAGGATGGTGGCTCATTTAAGCGGACTAGTTATTAAAAAAGAGGAAAATATGAGTGTTACATGTTTTAGAAAGAATCGTCTATTATTGATCAAAACACGGAGAAAGATGAGTTAGGGTTGAGGACTAGTTTCTGCCCTTCAACACTACCGCGCGGTACCTGATTTCGCAGTCGTAAGCCAAGGTAGTGCTGAAGCCTACCTCGCGCTTGCGTCCCACGCTAGATGACCCGTGACGTTCAGAAACAGATCTGGCAGCGCGTAGGCAGAGAAACAGAAGGCTCCAAGGATAGATCCGGCAGGGCTGAAGCCTACTTGATGCAAAGTTGCCAAAATGTGAGAAAAAATCTGACTATACCCGTAGAGCATAATTTCACTGCGCACAATATAGTTTTTTCATTTATTTTTATTTTTTTTTTTAATTTTTTATTTTTTTAAATTTTTCTTGCAGTTTATTTGGCTTTTCTTCCTGTTTTTTTTTGTTGCTTCGGAAGCCATAGCTAGCTATAGACACGAGTTTTTACAAAGAAATTATTTGATTGTCAACGGGCATCAGGGAGACTTTTAGAACATTCATGCTCCATAGCTCCGGCTTTCAAATTTTCAGAGATTAAGGTCGAGTAGAATCTGTTGCAGATCCACTTGTCAGTTCGGTGAAAATTTGTCGCCACCACCGGGATTCGAACCCGGGATCTATGGGTCTGGAGACAGACGCGCTAACCACTAGGCCAACCTGGCCAGCTTGCTTATGTCAAGGAAAATCTGAGTTTTTGGGTGTTGATTCTTTTCTCATAGTAATAAACTATTACTTTAAATAAAGCGCCGGACTGGGCAACGCGACGCGGGGCAGCCATGTTTTCTTTCCTCGTCCGAGGCAAATACGATGACGTAGTCGAGCAGTCCACGGCGCATATGCATCCCGGACATTCTAGCCTTCCGCAAGAGAAATTCTACTTGTGGAGACAAGCTTGTCGTGTGTGTTGCAGTCAAGCGGCGGGTAGGCGCTACGAACAGCGAGAGGTAGCGTTGACGAATACATGTTCTGTTCCTCAGGACTACCGACCCTAAAACTACCCATAGGTAGTGCCGAACCCTACCCTGATTTTTTTCCGTGAACATAATAATTTTTGTTGTGTTCCTTTTGATTATTTATCGCAATTCTGTGCTATCATTTTTAGTCGCTCCACATCATCTCTGTTCCTAATGTTAACCTCATTTAGTTTAGATTGTAGCTTCGGGAGGCCTAAGACACTTTAACAATAAATTGTAGTGTTCGAGGGGCTATGTAGCGAGCGATTCTCTGTTATGCCTTTCGTGAAATTTTTCCCACTGAGACAAAGGATTCTACATTAGATAAACAGCGGTGACACTTGCATTATATGAGTACTTTCTCGGTTCAAAATTATTTTAAGGCTAGCCAATGTTACAGGAAGACAGGACCCAAAGGAATATGTACACAACAATTATTATTTTCCTCGACATTTACCGGTGCGTTTAAATCAATAGGAAATACACCCAGTGGCGTGGCGTGCCTAGCGATGTATCGATTGATCTGCCAACTAAACCTATGGAAAAGGATTGATAAACAGGGTGTTCGCAACGAACATCTTAATAACCGACTAGCTGCTTCAGCTCGCTACGCTCGCTTGCGCCGCTAGCCGGGGGCAAGCCCCCTGGACCCCCAGTTACTCGCTCCGCGAGTAACTGTTGGCTCGCCTCGCGAGCCAAATTTTGCTACTACCAGTGCTTAGAGGACTTCCTGGAGGCAAAATGATAAATTCAAAAACAAAGAATAGGAAACTAAAAATTACCTACTTTTAGAAAAAGAAACAACCTTGAAAAATAAATAAAACTCCTGGAAAAGAAAATCGGAACACTTTTTGAAAATGTAACGGTGCGAAAGGGTGAAGATAAATCACCAATTCTCTTGGAAGAAGACATGAGCCGACCCCCGATATGAGTGAAACTGCCGTAGGACCCATGCTAGGGTAGAAGGGTGACACGTGTTGTGAGCAGGTAGGGATGGGTTTACGTGGAGAGGGAAACGGAAAATCAGAGGGTGGGAGGTCCCCCAACCATATGACTCGTCCAGCGTCAAAAACGCAAATATGTCGTTATCAAATCGAGGTAAATTTTGCAACTTCGGTCGCGCAAATCGAAAAACGAAGGGGTCTTGGCACATCTAGACCCTATGAGCTTTCATTTAAAACAAATCCGAGGAAAATCGGTCCAGTAGTTTCCGAGATCGAATTAGCTCAAACTGTCCAGCGGCAAAAACGCTAATATGTCGTTATCAAATCGAGGTAAATTTTGCAACGTCGGTAGCGCAAATCGAAAAACGAAGGGATGTTGGCACGTCTACAGCCTAAGAGCTTTAATTTAAAACAAATCCGAGGAAAACCGGTCCAGTAGTTTCCGAGATCGAATTAGCACAAACTGTCCAGCGTCAAAAATGTAAATATGTCGTTATCAAATTGAGGTAAATTTTGCATCGTCGGTCGCGCAAATCGAAAAACCAAGGGATGTTGGCACGTCTACAGCGTAAGAGCTTTCATTTAAAACAAATCCGAGGAAAATCGGTCCAGTAGTTTCCGAGATCGAATTAGCACAAACTGTTGGAGGCCAAAAAAGGCCTTAGGATATTAAATATATAGATAGATTCTTTACCGCAGCTACAAATTGGGATATATCGATGACCGATTATTCACGCCTCACCACCGAATATATCCTTCGTGAAATGAGCCCTACCATGCATATATTCTTGTGAATTTCAGGGCTTATTTGAGAGCTACCATAATTCATTTTGATTTAAATAGCCCAATTGGTCAGTTGCAGTGGTCACAGCATTGTGCTTTGATGCTTCATTCTTGCAGATTAGCTAAAAATATTACGATCTGTCAAAACAGCAACTTTCTACCTTCAATATTAACCGAGGTGTCGACCCTCGAAAATCCGGGTTTTTGACGTCGTCCACCGCGGTAGTGACACCCTTGGTTTCTCCCGTCTTGCTTTCATCAGTCAGGGAGACACAAATTTGCACTGGCCATACTCAACATGAAACTTGGATGAAAGCAAGGTGGAAGAAACCAAGGGTGTCACTACCGAGGTGGATGACGCCAGAAACCCGTCTTTTAAATCGGCGATATCTCGGTTAATCTTAAACGTAGAAAGTTGCTGTTTGGGCAGATATTATTATTTTCAGCTATCTGCAAAAATCAAGCGTGAAAACACGATTCTGTGACCAGCGCGACTGACTCATTTGAGAGAACTCCCTTAGAAATCACCAGAAGCCTCCAATCCTATTTACTGCCCAGCCAAAGGGGGTGAATTGGATCGCATGTAGC